TTCTTCCATGAAAATGATCCAGACTAGCTATAGGAACCAGTCAAGATGTTTTGCCACAAGATCTAGGACAAGAGGACCTAACCAATATCTCCCGTCTTGCAGATCTCCTGGGGACCCTTCACCTGCTTCTGCTACTGCAAACAATTGGACATCCATTTACCTTGACTCTTTTTTCAAGTGTGGAAACCTCTTGTTCACTGTGCATCAGGCTGGACCTGGCCTGAAAGTAAGTCTCTGGATTGTCTCTGACCTTTCCAATTTGCCAGTGTGAGTATGAGACCTGACCAAGTGTTTAGATGTAGGCTTTAAGCCAAGTATATAAATCCACTTGGCACCAACTTGGGTCCCAAAGATAAGGGCATTTGTAGCTGGAGTGGAAGACAAGGGAACAATGAGAACTAAGGTTTCATTCTCTGTGATGAGCCTCTCCACCACCAACTAGCACCACCAGTGCAGTAAGTACAGAGGACTCGTCTATCCAATCTTTTTTTTTCTCATCCAGGCCTTCTGCAAGAGAGATCTAAATGAGTCAGTCCTCAGAGATGGTGAGGGTGTGGCTGGTGACTCAGTCTTGGCTTCCTGTGCCCAAGGTGTATAGGTATAGATCTCTGGGAAGTGTTAGTGCCATGAAGTGAGCAGGCTACAGACCTGTGGGAACTAGAGCTTTCTGCCCCTCTTTATTTTTATTTAATATTCACAAACTTCTGTTCATCCTATTCTTTTCTTACAGTTTCTGATAGAAGGACCAAAGGAATGCCAAGAACTCCCTGATGAAGAGGACCTGTCTAGATTTGTAACTGGGACGACTAGCCAAGTCTTAACTTCAGGAGGAAGTTTCACCTAATTCTCAGGATAAATCAAAACAGGCCTGGGACTGCCCTTTGAATACTGAAGGTGTCAACAAGCTTCTGGCTTCCCCAGGTCAAGTAGAAGTTGGGTTCCTTCTTTGTTATTCAAACACACACCCACACACACAGCCACTTCACCCTCCCTAATGAAAACCCTCAACAGATGGAGAGCCTAGGCTCCCCAGCCTGCTGGCTGGGAAGATGCACTTCACTCAAGGGTCAGTCAGCTGGTACAGGGAGAAGGGAGTAGCTGGATAGGTAATCACTATATTTTAAAACTCTCTTCAGCAAGGTTAGCAGCCTCTGGGGCCTGGGAAACCAATGCGGCTAATGTGTCTCTGATAGGGACTGGGCTTGGGGCTGTACCAAGGGGAAAGTCCTCTACGTTCTCCCCCTCTCATTTGAAAGCCTGTACAAAGAAATGGTACAAACGGGTGGTTAGCAATGATTCCATCAGAGGCGGATTTTTCTCTGTCAGGTCCCTGGATGAAGTTGAGGTCTGAAATCCAGAAGGTGGAGTATGTACTTAATCACCCTTTCTTACTGCCTTTCCAGGGGCCAGGACTACCCTTCAGGCCTTTCCTCTTGCAACTTCCCCACCCCTCTGGCTAGCTCAATTGGATCTCCTCCCCATCACTCCCGGCTGGGGCCTGCGTCTCTCCTGGTAGCCAGGGCAACCTCTGCCCGGAGCTCTTTCCCTCCGGCCACCTCCCATTTTGCAGTGGGCTGTCCCTGCTGCCTCACCTCTACCTTGCTTTATTTTCACGCTTGATTGAAAGGAACCACTGCCATTCCCATCCATGGGCGGGGGCTTGAGGCCCTCACCCTTTTCTTCAGGCCTCGGGAAGATTCCCCCACAGCCTCCCAGATCACCTCCCCCAAAGCGATCTCTGCAGGAAAAAAGCCGAGCTGATCTAGGCCTGAGTCGAAGAGGCATTTCCTCCCTGTGGGCAAACGAAGTGAACCTCCTAGAGACCAAGGCCCGGAGCTAGGCTCGGCCCTTCCCCACCTCCAGTGGTCGGCCCAGTGTTGCCTTTGTGTGGCCTTCCCCGCCTCCGCGGAGCCCGTGGGGAAGCTGCGCACACAATGGTGCAGCCGCTCCGGAAGGCGGGCGGCTCTGGGCGT